CTGTAGCTCTATGCTTTAGAAAACATCGTTATACTCTGTGAAAAAGCACAGAGTTCAGTTTTCAATTCTTTTTTATGATTCAGTAATGAGATATAATTTTTCACTTTGAAAAAATTATTTGGGATTCAGGAAAATGTAGTTTAGAACTGGAAATAATAAACTCTCTAGTACATGGACCACTAGCTCACTTCTTTAGGGAAAGAACCTATCAGTTAATAACAATGACACATAAAGCTGTGAAGGGTAGAATATATTTCTCCTTTCTCAGCTATCTGAAAAATACCACTGGTCCAATTTTAATCATCTTTCCCATCATCCTCAAAATGTGTATTTGAAGTACGGCATCATAAACTAAATGAATATTTTTAAATTATCATGTTAGATTTTCACCGGTCATAAAGTGGACTGATATTATTTTCTGTTATCTTAGTGGTCAATCAGAGTTTGCTTTGTACAAATCTTATACAATAATCCAAAATCAACATTACATAACTAAAGGTACATGGTGTGGTTAACTGTTAACTTTTCCTATCCTTTTTTACGCTGTGAGTAATGACCCAGTTATGGCAGAGATAGTTATTGATTTAGAATGTTAAGAAGAATGAATAGAGGCCAATGTCCTTTTTCGAAAGCCCAACCTTTTCATCTGTTGTCAGATCACTGCTTTTAGTAAATGAATTAATTTTGCTAATATTAATTATCCATAAGAAACTCATTATTACTCTAAATAATTAGGATTAAAAGAGGCCTATGGTGTGGCTTTGTTTTTTAGGTGAGGTATCATACAAAGAAAATGAAGCAATTTCAAATTAGGTATGAAATTAATTTTCTTTGGATTTGGGAAAGTTACCAGCTGGGAAATTAGGCTACATTTAATCTTCTGATAAAAAACACCTGGATTTCGATTACATAATTGTTTAAAAGTTATTTGGTAATTTAGAGGACAAGTCCTGCAGGTAAACTTTTTCCCTTGGTTCCTCAGCAATAGGGTTATCCTAAGGTTAAGAAAAAAAACTCTCTCCCCTACAACAAAAGAGAAGAGAAATAGCCTAATAATTTCTAAGAATAAATTTAGATTTGCTTAGATTCAAACTTTTAAAAATCATATTATATATACACAATATGATCAAATATACAATTAGCCAAAGATGATCTTCTGAATTGCAGTATGCCAATTCAAAAAGAAACATCATGGCCCAGCTGGATATGGTACAGTCAACTTATTCTTTTCTCTCCATATTTTAATAGCAACAATCATAGTGACAGAATCCACCATGGTAATCTACACTCTTCACAATGATGACAGGAGTGGGATTGGCTGCTTACACAACAAATGGGTGTTTTCAATTTACATGTTTTTGGAAATGCTGCTCCAATAGGATGGAAATTGGAATGCTTGTGTAAATATTATACTCAGGAGTGACACATGGCACTACATTTTTTAGGAATTCTAGGTCACCCTTGGATTCCGTTAAGGCACTTATAATTAATCTTCCACAGGGTATATTCCCATGGAAATGGTGATATTCTGATTCCAAGAATCTGCTCTGATCACTTGTTCAGTATATATTAGACAGTAAACCAGACAGAAGCCAGCTTCTGTTGCTTTGAAGTCCCCCTTCCTTCCTTTTATCCAGGGTTATAGGACTACTCTTATTACTCTGAAGATACATAAAAATTATAGTGGTAGAAACTAACCATTCTTAAATTTTTTTGGCCACTGAGTGCTTTGATAATCTGGTAAGAGCTAGCATCTTCTTATCATAAAAATCTACAAATGCCCAGAAAATATTGCATGAAACTTTAAGAGGTTATTAAGCCTCTTAAACCCATCCATGGACCTCAAGAACTACACAGTTAAGATGTTCTCTGTGACAGCTAGAGGATCTTGTTCATACCTGATTCATCTCTGTGTCTGTGACATGACAGACACAGGACCTTAGCCCTGACCCAGGGCCTTCCGTATTGTCCCAGAGACTTGCATTGCCTTAGTCTCTTGATAGGGGAGCCACACCAAGTCCCATGGTCAGATGTGTCATCCATGGGTCATCAGTGCAGACACTGAGGTTTCTATAAGAATGTCCTGGTGGCAAAAGTTCATTCCAAGCACAGTCCATCAAGAACACAAAATGGCAAGTCTGGGATGACATATTTTTCTGCATTGTTCTACTTCCTGCCTCCTACCCTTTCCTGGTCTGTAGTTACTGTGCATATGACTGGCCAGGGTCAGCGCTGAGGGAAGATGATCCAAGGGAGGGAAGATCCAGATTATGCTTGTGAGAGCTTGTAGTTAGGGTAAATCAGGCAAGCAGAGCTCAGGGACGTTGGACATTGGTAAGATGTCTACCCTAATTGTATGGGGCTCGCTTCTGAGCCCTGTCAAGGAGGTCCTCGCTGTGGTTCAGGTAGACTGTTCAGACAGACCACACCCTCCCCAGCTTGGCTCTGGTGTGTCCTGTACTCTGATTCCTTCTTTTTTGTTTCTCCATGAGCCAAATCCTACCTTTTTTTTTTTTAAGAGATTGCTCTGAATGGACCTCCTGGAAATCTTCTCTAAGATCCCAGCTCCATCTCCCCTTCTGGGGTCTCCAGTTACTGAAGAGTAAATAATTATTACCTGGTGTGGCATTTAACTATTCTGTTTTCTCTAGTTGTCTCTGGTCATTCCCCTGAAACTAGGTCCTTGGGAGCAAGATATCTATGGGTACCACCCGAAGGGGCTAAGAAAATGTAGCAATCAAGATATACTAGAGTGAATGAGTTAAGAATCCAACTATTGAATCATTAGACCAGTAGCAAGGCTGAATCCAAATAATTTTATGAACATTGGACTAGAGATGGCATGCAGTCTTCTCAGCATTTTTCAAACTTTTTGAAAGTGACTCATACTAAGAAATCTTTTTCCCATCACCACAATAACAGTATAAGCAAATATGTATATTAGAGACAAAATTTGCCTGAAACAAAACTTACTTGTATTACATATGATACACTCTATTTTCTGTTCTGTTCCACTTCATTAAAACAAAACAAATTCTGGTCACCACCCATTAAATTGATTTCATGACCCCACTTAATAGGTGGTAGCTTGTTTGCAAAACACTGGCCTATCCCCTGGGATTATATCAAACCTTATAAGGAATTCTACCCTGCTTTGCATTCTTCTCTAAAAACCATAAAAAGTTTTTCTATTTATTAATTTAAATAATATCTAAAGTGAATCCTTATGACAGTTTTGAACTGAGTTTTACCAGGTTTCACTGATGATGTGGTGAAACTCAGAGCCATAACTGGTTTTAAGATTCCAAACTGAGGGCTATTTCCACTTTACCATGCTTCCTCTGCCAGGCTGCATCTGTCAGCTGACTTTTGCCTTTCTAGCCTTCCCAACTTAGTTGGAAGTGATGCTTAATGAATTTATGATAAACAGAATGGAATAATATTCTTGCTCAAAAGCCATGTCTTAGCTTGACACGATGTTTTGACATGACATCTTTATGCCAAAACCTAATAATTGGGAGCTAATCGATGGGTATACATGAGCACAAAGAGATGTTAAAGGTCATTGGAACTCAAGAAGCAGGGAGCAGGGGGGTAAAAACCTACCTATTAGATACAATGTACACTATTCAAAAAGCCCCGACTTAATCATTATAAAAGATATCCCTGCAACAAAAACATTTGTACCACCTTAATATTTTGAAAATTTAAAAAAAACCCCAAAAACCTTATATAATGCTTTATAATCATACTTTTTTCCTACTCTATGAGCCATTTATTAATGGTTTGGCACTGGAAAATTTCCTAAGCTGATCAGGATTTCTTTAGTGAGCACAATTTGGTCCCTGCCTGGGTTTGAGCTTTTCCCAGAGCTCAAAGAGAAAGTTTCAGAAAGGCCAATAAAAGCACCAAACAGGAAGGTTTTTGTTTCTGCTAGTTTCCTCTAACAGCTGGTTTCCCTAAGGCTATAATTCAGAGACCTGGTTTCTACCAGACTCTGAATCCATAATCAATGATAAACTATCAAACATAATAAGCCCTTGGGCCTTTCCAGCAAAATCCAATAACCCTGGGGAAACACCCAAATACATTTGTCCTAAGGTATATACCTGCTGTATGGGGAGGTAGGTACACACAGGTAGGACTTGGTACTGAACAGGCACTAAATTATTGTCTGATGAATTGATGAGTGAGTATATGGATAAAAAAATACAAGTGTAAATGCAGGCTATATATATGTAGGTATTCAGGATTTTTTTAATGTGCATCTATAGGAGGCTTTTTGCCTCAATGGCCCAGGAGGGGTAAAGATGACAATTAACAGTCCTGTGGGTACTTGGGAAAGAAAGGCCAGGTGGAAAGAGAAGTAGAGGGGAGAAAAGGGAAGGTAAGAGGGAAAAAAAAACCAAAAACGAATGAGAGGGAAACATCTGGCTGGAATAGCAGGAAGAAGGCCAGCAACTCGGAATATCGATCATGATCTTTGTTAGCTCTGGAATCATTTTTATCTTGCCTGTTACTCTGTTGGACTTTGTTGGACTCAAAGTACATGTTTCATATGATAGAAGTTCCCTTGTTTACTTATTCTTCCTGACTCAGTTTTTAAAGGCCTGTCTAAGCATCTCAGTATGTTTCTTATAGCTGACATACTTGCGAGCTGGGGTAAGGAATGGGGAAGCAGGGCCTTGGTGGCTCCTAAATCCAGTTCTTGAGGAAGAACTGGTAGATAGAGGACACCTTCTCTGATATGCAATCGAGCGCAACTCTCTGGGCAGGAGGAAAACAGGCGGTGTTGCAATGAGAGGGCTAACCTTTCTACCTTGTGTCTGATAAGGTTTTGAGAAAAGAACCACATTCTTTCCAAAAGTCAGGTCAGAAGCCTCTCCACACTTTGATTTCCCAATCCAGCACCCTTAATGTCAAATAAAACGAAGGCCCTTGCCCCAAATGAAGCCATCAGTAAATATCTCTGCTCTCATGGGGATTGTGTTCTCTTACAGCATCTTTCTGAATTTACCACTTCATGATGAAGCATACTTCTTTCAACGAAGCATCTGGCAGGGGAATTGAGGACAGTAGGTCTGAGGGCAGCGGAGAAGGAGGTGCTACTTGTGTGCCCTGGAGAAGCAATATCTTGAAGAGGACGGCCTTTGGAGCCAGACTGCCTGGGTCTGAAATTGGCTCTGCCAGTAGGTATGTAGGTTGCATGGCCTTTTTATACCTCATGTGTGAAAATGGAATAAAATAATCTTATCTCATAGGAATATGTAAGTTCATAGAGGTGATGCACTTAAAACAGTGCCTATATATATAGCAGGCATGCCATGAAGTGCTATTATTAGGATGTAAGAAAAGAAATATTCGTTTGCCAAATTCAAAGTTTATTTTGGTAGTTTGTTTCTTCATTGTAATAAAGACCACTGGTTTCAGGAACTCTAGAATGTCAGAACTGAAAGAATACATAAATAAGGCCCAGAGAGCTGAGCTCTCCAAGGCCACAGGGCTACCTGGTGCTAGATTCAAGGCTTCCTGATTCTAGACACTCACCGCAGCACCCCCAAGTGCCCCTTTGTCCCTGCAAAGACAATCTGAAGCTGGTTCATTCATTCATTCATTCATTCACTCACTCAGCACTGATTTAGGCCGTCCACAGATAGTACAGAAAAGTTAGACATAGTCCTTGTTCTTAAAGGACTTCAATGGAAAGTGGAGCAATAAGATATGGAGATAAAATTATACAATAATGCAATCATTTATATAAAGTAAAAAATATGAAGAAGTTTAGGTATGTGTTATCTATCTAATCTGACATCAGTAAAAGAGTTATGATAAGGTTAGTAAATTTATAAATGACTGAAACAAATGAAGCTAAGCAAGGAAAAAGATGCATGGAGCACTTTGGAGATTCAAATAAGCAAAAGATAACGTCTGACTGGAAGGATGGGGAAAGTCTTCGTGGAGTTAGTGGTATTAGATATGAGCCTTGAAACATGAATAGGTAATGGAATTAGAATGCAACCTTTTCCCCCCTCCTCCATGAAGCATTGCTTTCTAAATATCAAAATATACATGTGCAAATATATACAGATACAAAGAAATAAAATATAGTCCTATATAAATTTTCTATAGAATGTAGAAGACAAATAAAAAAAGAATCCAAAAGGCAAGAGCTTCAGGCACTTCTAGTCTTACTCTGTGCAAGGTAATTGAAGGAGGGCTTGCTTCAAGAATTATCGTCACACAGGAACCCCTAGTTTATCTCTGGGATACAAGACAAGCCAATCCTCAAAGGCAGAAGAATGGTCATGATCTGATTTAGAGATGCAAATTGATAAAGTGGACTTCCCTCTATGCCTTGTGCATCAGGGGAGGCTCTAAGCATATGGTGGGATCGTGCTGCAAGAGGACAGCCAAGGGCCATTGCAGTACTCCAGGCTACACAGGGAAGTGGGAGTAGAAATGTAGAGGAGAAGATTGGTTCTACGACTGCCAGACTATTTTTGAAAGCAGCTACACCATCTTACATTCCCACCAGCAATGAATGAGGGTTCCAGTTTCTCCACATCCACATCATCTGTTTTTATCTGTCTTTTTAATTAGAGCCATCCTAGTGGGTGTGACAGATATGTGATGTCTCATTGTGGTTTTGATTTGTATTTCCCTGAGGATTAGCGATGTTGAGCATCTTTTCATATGCTTATAGGCCATTTATATATATCTTCTCTGCAGAAATGTCTCTTCACATCCTTTGTACATGTTTAAATTGGGTTGTCATTTTATTATATTTAGTTGTAAGAGTTCATATGTTATGGCTACAAGTTCTTTACCAGATAATAAAATGATTTGCAAAATATTTTCTCCCATTCTTTGGTTTGTTTTTTTTTTCACTTTATTGATGGTATCTTTTGAAGCACAAATATTTTTTCATTTTGATGAAGCCCAGTTTATGAATTATTTTCCTTTGTCAAATATGTGTTTATGTCATTTCTAGGAAACCACTAAGAAACCAAGGTTACAAGGATTTACTCCTCTATATTTATTTCTAAGAGCTTTATAGTTTTAGCTTTTACATGTAGTTCTAGGATCCATTTTGAGTCGATTTTTTTGTATAGTGTGAGAAAGTAGTCCAACTTCACTTTTAAAAAAATAAATAAACTTTACTTTTTAGAACAGTTTTAGATTTATAGAAAAATTTAAAAAATAGTACGAAGAGCACCCATATACCCTACACCCACTTTTCCCTATTTGTGTGGTATATTTGTTACAATTAATTAATTAAAATTGATAAATTTTTAACTAAACTTCACAATTTATTCATATTTCCTTAATTTTTACATAATTTCCTCTTTTTTTCTGTTTCAGGATCTCATCACAGATGCCACGTTACACTTGGTCATCATGGCTCCCTCGGCTTCCTTCAACTGTGACGGTTTCTCAGACTTTTCTTGCTTTAGATGACCTTGACAGTTTTGAGGAGCACCGGTCAGGTAGATTGTAAACTTATATCATAAAAGGTCCTCCTTATATTGGGATTCAAATGACATTTTCCTCATGACTCGGGATACATGTCTGTTCACTGAGGTTACGGATTTTTTAAAGGAAGACCATAGATGTGAAGAGACGTTTGCATCACATCATATCAAGGGTATTTACTATTGATATGACCTATTACTGTGGATGTTGACATTGGTCCCCAGGCTGAGATAATGTTAGTCAGAGTTCATCTTTGTAAAGTTATTCTTTGATTTCTACCTTCACATGTTGTACTCTTTAGAAGGAAGTCGCGATGTGCCTCCCACCCTTAAGGAGTGGGGAGTTCTGGTGCACCTTCTTCAGGGTGGAGTATCCATACAAATTATTTGGAATTTTTCTGCATGGAAGATTTGTCTCTTCTCTCTTATTTCTTATTTATTTATTTAATTTATTTATTCATTCATTCATTCAAGCAATCATTTATTTGTATCAGCATGGATTCATGGATATTTGTCTTACACTTTAGATTAGAATCCAACACTACTTTCTTTTGTTGCTCAAGTTATTACAGCATTAGCCATTAGGAATTTTGGGATCCAATGGATCCAAATGGATCCAATGTGGCCTTTGACACACCCCCATGGTTTTTTGTGTGTGCGTGCATGTTGTGTGTGTATGTGTGTTTGTTTTTGGCTTTGGTCCTAAAATCAGCATTTCTCCAAGGACCCCTGGTTCCTATTACTGGAGAATGGCATTAGAAGCCAAGACCTGGGCACAAAATGTACTCATTGCTACTGAAGTGTCATTGCCTCTAGGAGAGCAAGGAAATATGTGTATACTAACCAATTCATACACACATCCCGTATCTATGAATATTTCTATCTGCAACATTTCTATCTGCTACGAATATTTCTATCTGCAACATCTCTTTCTGCAACTCGCAATTGAGCGAATTGTGAGTTCTTACTATGTCTTTCACTCTAATCCATTACCACATGGATCATTTCATTACCTTCCCCTTGTTTAATTGTAACCCTCCACTCCCATAGTGAGAACCTTGGCTCTATCCATTTACTTCATTGTTCAATCACAGTATAAAATAGTATCAGAATGGTTAACTAATACTCCCAAGGGCAAGAAACTTTATCAAGTAGAGTACAGTGCCTATGTATGGTTTCTTTAGCCTTTAGTTCTACAGACTCCACTCGTTTTCAAGTTACTTAGGTCGGCACCATTTTCCTCCACTCCCTTCAGTGAGGTTGTTTCATACATTTTTAATTATTACATTGATTTGTAATATTATTAATTCCATTGTGGGATTCTCTAGAACTACTAAATGATTTTCTAATGTTTGCATACATGAAGATTTTCTCTGCTGTAAAGTTCAATAGGTTTTTGACAAACACGTAGTATCATGTAGCCATGATTACAGTACCATACAGAATAGTTTCACTCTCCTAAAAAATCCCCTGTACTTCACCTATTCAAATCTTCCTTTTCTCTCCCCAAAACTCTGGCAATCACTGCTTTTGAACTTGCTCTATAGTTGTGCCTTTTCTATAATGTCATATAATTAGAATCCCATATTATATAATTCTATATATATGGCACCTTTTCAGATCAGATTGGCTTCTTTCATTTAGAATATGCACTTAAGATCCCTTTTGTGGCTTGATGGCTCATTTTTAAACACTGAATATTTCACCATGTGAATGTTATCACAGTTTGTTTATACATTCAGCTTTTGACAGATATCTTAGTTGCTTTTAGTTATTGGCAATTATGAATCTACCTGCTGTAAACATTTGTGTTCAGGCTTTTGTGTGGACAGCAGTTTTCAAAATAGCTGGATAAATACCTACGAGTTCAATTGCTGGATCAAATGTTTAGCTTTGTAAGTCTTCCAAAGTGGCTGTTCCATTTTGCATTCCCACCAGCAATGAATGAGAGTTTCTATTGCTTTGCATTCTCACTAGTATAATAATTGGTATTGTCAGTCTTTTGGATTCTAGTCATTGTAATAGATGTGTAGTAGTATATTAATATTGTTTTAATTTGCAATTTTCTAATTAGATATGATGTTGAGCTTCTTTCATATGTTAATTTCCCATATGTATGTCTACTTTGGTAAGGTGTCTGTTTAGATCTTTTGCCAATTTTATAATTGGTTTGTTTTTTCAATTGTTGAGTTTTAAGAGTTCTTTGTATACTTTGAATACATGCCTTTAATCAGATAAGTGTTTTGCAAATATTTTCTCTCAGTCTGTGGGTGGTCTTTTTGTTCTCTTAATAGTGTGTTTTGCAGAAGAAAATTTTAATTTTAAGTAAGTCCAACCTATCATTTTCTTATATGTTTGCTCCAAAAGTTTTATAGTTTTGTGTTTACATTTATGTATATGATCCATATTGAGTTATTTTTTAAAAAAATGTTTAAGGTCTGTGTCTAGTTTTGTATTTTTACATACAGACTTCCAATTGTTTCAGCACCATTTATTGTAAAGACAATCCTTTTCCCATTGAATTGCCTTTGATCCTTTGTCAAAGATCATGGGACTATTTGTGTGGGTTTATTTATGGGCTATCTATACCATTCCAGTGGTTTATATGTCTATTCTTTCTCCAATACCATACTGTCTTAATTACTGAAGCATTATAGTATGTCTTGAAGCCAGATAATTTTAGTCCTCTGACTTTGTTCTTCTTCAGTGCTATGTTGGGTATTCTGGGTCTTTTGCCTTTCCATAGAAACTTAGAATAATATAGCTTCCTGTGATTTTGACTGGGCTTATGTTGAATCTATCGATCAAGTTGTGGATAACTGACAATATTGAGTCTTCTAATCCATAATCATGGACTATGTCTCCATTTATTTAGCTCTTTAACTTCTTTTATCAGAATTTTGTAGTTTTATGCAATTCTGTACATATTTTATTAGATTTATTTAATTTTGGGGGCTATTATAAATAGCATTTTTTAAAAAATTCAAATTACAATTGTTCATTGTTGGCATATAGGAAAGCCATTGACTTTTGCATATTAGTCATATAATCTGCAAACTTGGTATAATCACTTTTTAGTTCCAGGAGATTTTTTTGTTGATTATTTAGGATCTTCCATGTAGATAATCCTGTTATCTGTGCATGAAGACAGTTTTTTTTTCCTTCCCAATTGGTACATTTTTTATTTTCATTTCTTGTCTAATCATAGTAGCTAGAAGAACTCCAGTATAATGTTGAATAGGAATAGTAAAAGACATTTCTTGGCATGTTCACAGTTTTATGGGGGAAACACCCAGTTTTTCAATATGATGCTAGCTGTACTTTTTTTTGTAGATTTTTTAAAATCAAGTTGAGAAGTTTCATCTCTATTCTTAGTTTGTTGAAAGTTTTTATCAAGAATTGGTGTTGGATTTTTGTGAAATGGTTTTCCTATATTAATTGATATCATTGTGATTGTTCTTTAGCTAGTTAAAGTGGTGAGTTATATTGATTTGAATGTTGAACCATGGTTGAATATCTGGAATAAATCCTATGTGGTCATGTTTTGTAATTATCTTTATGCATTGTTGAATTTGGTTTGCTGATATTTTTTAAAGGATTTTTACATCTATCTTCATAAGATATTGGTCTGTAGTTTTCCTTCCTGAATGTTCTTATAATAGAAGCCTATGATGCAGTGGTAAAGTTAAGGCAGGGAAAAATTCCATAATCTTTTTTTTTTTAAAGAAAATATGAGAGTACAAACATTTTGGTTGCATTTTATATCTTTGCCTTTCCCTAGCAAGGGTTAGAGGTATGCCCTTCTCCTTCACAATGCTCACCACATCCCTCACATTCCATAATCTTACAGTTGAATATCAGTGTTTTAGTGTGTCCCCGTCCCTGGGATGAGACCTTGACATAGCTCCTCCCACTCAGGTAGGACAGGAAGCCGAGAGGCGGCTGGAGGCAGTGTACTCCCCCAGGTGGTATAAGGCTCTGGTAAAGTCTGTCCTCTGCAAAACAAACTTTTATCGGGTGGTGGGCAGATGGGGTGGGGGGGAATAATTTATACTTATGAAATAGGTGCAATGCGCACCACCTGGGGGTAGGACACGCTTGATGTTTTGGTAAGGCAGGGGTGGAGGAGGAATGGCAGGGGCAATATATGTAACCCTAACAATATCTGTACCCCCATAATATGATAAAATAAAATAAAATTAATTAAAAAAAATAAAATGAAAAATTTTAAATTGAAAAAAAAAAAGTCTGTCCCCTGCAAAGTAGGCCTTAGTTATGGAGTATGCTCTGGACTTATCTCAAAATGGGATATTTTCCTCACCACCTCCTAGAGCCATGAGATTTTTCTTGGCTCTTTACCATGAAAACCTAGCGGGGTTCCTAAAGGTAAATCCCATGAACATGCAGGGCTCCCTTATATGACTGAGGCTCACAGGACTTTCTCATTCTTAAAATAGTCCAGAAGTCAGCCTCCAGTAATTTGTCAAAATTGCCATGTAATTGTTCCTATTCATTTATGGCTCCAGGCATTTCTGCTCCAGGTAAGCAGACCCCAGTGACTCTCTGGATTCGACTATTGGTCCAGATTTTGGGGTGCTCATTTACCCCGAAACTTCAGTTCCCTGATGGATCTAAGAAAAGTCATTGACTTTTAGTTTGTTCTTTTTTTTCTTGTTGTAAGATTGGGAGTGATGACTTCCAAGCTCTTTACATGGAGAGGTGAAATCTAAAGTTCCATCTTTATTCTTTGCATTTGGATATGCAATTGTGCCAGCACTATTTGTTGAAAAGACTATTTTTTCTCCACTGAATCTTGTCAAAATCATTTAACGATAAAGTGAGCGTTTATTTCTGGATTCAATTTTATTCCATTGGTCTATATGTCTATTCTTATGCCCGCATTATATTGTCTTGATTACGATTATCTTGTAGTGAGTTTTGAAATTGGGAGGTGTGAGTCCTCCATCTCCATTATTCTTTTTCAAGATTGACTCTTCTGGTTCCCTTGAATTTC